CCCCCCCCCCCCCCCAGTTTCTGTGCCGACAGCAAGGTGCAGGGCCGCAGCTGGGCCTGAGTCAGTGCCCAGCAGTAATGTGGTAGCTGCGGTGGTGTGGAGTTGTGCCCCTCCACTGTCAACACATATGTACCTTATGGAATTAGAAGGTATCAGCTGCTGCCCTACTGAAATGGTCCCTTTTTGAAAGGGCTACAAGCATTCCTATGTCCACACCTTGTCATTGTATCTAGTGTGAAAAGATTATTTTGGGATGATGCTTGGATCGTGGGATTTCAGCAGTAATGCACTTCAGTTGTAGAATCAGCTACCTATCAGTTATCATCAGCTAGCTATAAACTGATATTGTTGTTAAAAATCACAGTTCGGAACAATTTATGTGTGATATCACTTTTATCTGGTTGCAAATTGTGAAAAAGCCTGCGGCATTTGTTTAAAAAAAATCCCATGTATCTATTTTAACAAAATAATATGTTGCACTAATACTTCACTCTTTCAAAGATATGCAAAGCTATTATTATGCCCATTTATCCAAGGGAAAGAAAGACAAAAGATTTTTTTCCAAGGTTGGTTGGTTGGTTGTGCATTATCTGATTTTGGCACTCACCTTACCTACATCACCAAACATCAGAGTACCTCACAGTCTTTGATGTATTTATTCTGACAGCACCCCACAAGATAGGGAATTGATATTATCTTAATTTTATAGATGAGATACTAAAACACTAAGGCTCAAATATTCCAAAGTTTTAAGATGCCTCTCTCCCATTAATATAATCTATTTCACTGGGAGTTAGGCACCTATGTTTGTCACCTTCAGTGAGATTGCTCACTCTCTTTGCAAAGCTTTGTGGCATATGTAACAGTAAAGTGCTGCCTCTCATAGTGAAAGGAAATGGAGGCTAGAGTTATGCATTGACATATACTACCTGAAGTCACCATTCATGGTCATATTATATATGAAGGCGCTGCTGTTTGAAATAGGAATATAAGCTTTTTGTTACTATAAAATACCATTTTCTAAAGCGCTCTGTTAGCTGAATATTGGGAATATAGAAGCTCTACATTAAGAAAATATGCACCAGTTGAATAAAATAATTTAGGAAAATGTTTTCAAACCTGGGTGCCTATAGCGAAAACTCTTATAAGTAGGCACCAAAATGTAAGTGTCTTGACTTTTAGAAATGCAGGACATGTACAGCTCTGTTGACAGAAAAATCAGACCAGTTTTATTTAAGTGATCAAAACTAGATTTGGGAGGCTCATTTTAGGCACACAGGTTGGCAATATTTTATCTTAGTGTTTGCCTTTTTTCATTAGAAGGAATGTTGCAGTTGCAAAATAGTTAACTAAAATAAAAAATATTCAGTCATTTTTGTAGAGTTTGAAGAAATTAAGCTACTTGGTCACACTACAGAACTTTATATTGTATCAGATAAATCAGATTGAGTTTTCTCTTTTTGGTAATGTCAATTATTTAAATTTAGTGCTTAGCAACCAGTTCTGTCTGCAGACTTCAATTAGTTTATGTTTCATTACTAATTCACATCTTTCTTGTAACTATTTAATCATGATAATGAGTTTCTTCTATTAGAAGCAATTAATATCTGAGCATGACTTTGAAAGAGAAGAAATATTCTAGGATCTTTAAGTAACCTATTAACAGGATTTTCCCTACATATTTTAAATGACTATTATGTCATCAAACATCTTTAAAAATTAGAATGGAATGTCTGACAAGGAATTCTCCATATATCCATACTTCTGTATCAACATTTGCCAGTTTATAGGATAAATTACTGTATTTACTCCAATACAAAACAGCACGGGGAAAAAAAAGCTTATATTCATGTACAAGATATTCAAGATGTACAAGAAAACCTCACTAAATAAATTGTCCTTCATTAAACTGCTGCCAAAATCATCATGTGCCCAGTAACGGAAACCAACTATGGAGTTGATTAAATGCACCCAGCACTAAGCATAACTATAAAACCCACAGCCCATATTGGGCAAACATACATTTCTTTTTTGCAAATTTTTTTGTATTCCAGGTCAAATTAGTCAAATCAGTTTTGAATCCTCTTGACTGAGCAACATTCAATTATTCAAATACCATTTGTAGTGCTATAACCAGCAAGTATCTTCCACCCTGTATTTTTCAGCCTGGGGCTTCAGATACTCCCAAATCCATTGACATGGGCATTTGTACACAACACGTCATTTAATCCTGCGGCTTAAAAATTTTAACCTGGGTTATTTTGGTGTGTTGTGTTTGTGTTTGAGCGACACACACTTTTGAGCGACTTTAGTCCTGTGTACAATTCCCTGTAAATTCCAGCAGGGGGAGCCAAATACCAACCTGGCTTGGATCACACTCCCCCTGCTTCCACCAAGCAGCTCCTGTGTGACAGGACTACAGTTCCCAGCATCCCCTACCTGTCCAGGCTTGGTACCATTTCCATGGGGACCCCTGACCAACCCAGGGATCAATTCTGGGTGGGAGGGGGGAGGGAGAAAACCTCTCAACTTCTCCAGGGGTGTAGGTTGTAGCCCTGTTGGTCTAAGGGCATAGGCAGACAAGGTTCTTTGCGTGAATCTTTGTGTGAACCCCTCAGCTTCTTCAGACACAGCTCGGCCTGAGAAGGTGCAACCTTTTAACAAAAAGGCAGGCAAGGTTCTTTAAGTAGATATATAAAATAAAATAAATATAAAATAAAGGATATTTTCTTTGCGATTTCCCAGTTGGTCTAATAAAAGGTATCATTTCAGAACCAAGAGTTCTAGATTTTTTTTTTTAATAGATGTAATATCTTTTATTAAATCAACTGAGTAGTTGGGAAAAAGCTCTTGGCAAACTTTTGGGCGCAGTCACCCTTCTTCAGGCATAGGGAGTCTGCTGTTCTGAGACTCCAAGGAGTGAAAGAAGCTAAAAGTGTGGCAGGATGTCAGTGAAAATGGAAATAGGATGAATTAGAAAGACAAAAGTTGAAGCAGAGTGGTAAAAGCACAGAGACGAGGGGAAGAGAGCAGAAAAAAAGCAAAAAAAGCTGAAAGGAGACATTACAGTGATATAATACAAGGTAGAAAAGAGGCTGTCTATGGAAAAGAAAATAGCTGGAGATCAGGAAAACAGGATTGAGAGAAATTTTCCCAGCATATTGTTCCTTAGCTATTCTTTCTTTTGAATTGTTTTGTTATGAGAGGGTGGGTGGATAATGTTAACCCAAAGCATACAGTTAAATGGCAATGATCAAAGGAGTTTTAAATATATAGGTGGGCAACTGAATAATGCTGTGTGTTAATATCTGAATAATGCTGTGTGTTCGGACTAACAAATACCTGGCTTATGTCACAACCTGTTCATGATAACAGGCTATAAGAAAACCCCTACCAAACATGCTAACATCGGCGAGCTCTCTTTGTTTATTTTAGTTTTATTTGTTCTCTGTTTATTTTAGTTTAGTTACATGCAGTGTTTTTTCTGGGGGGGGTTCAGTGTAAGAAGGAGTTATTTATGAGTGAGATAAGGAGAACAAATATATTACGTCAGTGTTTGGCATAAAAGCTATAATATGAGGTCTGCCCTATGTAATGTGGAGGATTCAGTCTGAATAACACTTTTTGGACACAGGGCTGCGGGAAAAGTTTCCAGGTAAAATTACTTTGACCCTAACACCCAATGATAGATAGATAGATAGACAGATAGATAGATAGATAGATAGATAGATAGAAAAGTCAAAGCTTTCCTATGGGGGCAAAAATCCCTTGTATCTCCCAATGGTTTAAAAATGCAAGGAACAGCTTCTTCCCCACACTGGCTGAATGGGTTAGTTCTGCTTTTAGTGAAAAGTTTTTACATTTCAACGAGGGCAATTAGTACCTGATAGCACCTCCTCAGGCCACTGAGCTGTGTCTCTTTGGAGAGGCTGAGGGGTTTTCTCCCTACTCCTCCCTCCCACCCAGAGACAGGCATTTCTGCTCCTTGGCAAAAAAAGGTTTTATTGCACCTGAGTGACTGGTAAGAAGTGCACACATACAAGTGTTAAGAAACTCTCCCCTTAGAAGA